TCACGAGCTTTTTTCAACTCTGGAAACGTTTTTTCAAATATCTCACGATGCTTTTCGTCCTTCGCACTGAAAAACAAGACCATCTAATTTAAAAACATTAAAAGAAATATATTTAAAAGATTCACTCATGTAAACAAATATTTTAAGCTTAGTTCATAACAACCACATAGGAAATTTTCTTATAGAAACGTCAGTGTAAAAAAATAAGAAGCGATACATTTTTTTTTGACTCCTACAATACTTTTCATCTTTGCTTAACCATTCAGCATACAACGCATTGTATCTTCCCGTTTGGTACCGCTGCGCCCGTAATTCATTTTGTCTTTTCTGAACCAACATCTTTATTAACTGCGGCTTCATAACTGCATAGTGTTCTATAGTTTCTTTCACTAGTGGGCAGTCACTTGGATTTTGATACATCGGCTACAAAAAGAAAAAATTGCAGTTTAGAAAGTAAAGTTCTAGCTTCTTTTTATTTGCTACAGTATTATGAGACCAACCACTCCACTCAGCACAGAAAGAGGAAATTTAGATATTCGACTTTTGCTGTCTGCTTGTGCAGCTTTTCTTCGGTTCTCCAGAACTATCCGATCTACAAGGCTTAAACGTTTGCCAGCTTTATCTGCCGCTAATCCATTTTCTTTTTCTTCGTCCTCGTCACCCTCTTTTTGCTCTTTTCCGGCTAATTCCCTTTCATGTTGTTCCTTTAAAAAATCTTTAAACAGTGCAAACATTCCCGTCCACGATTATCGAAAAATTATGAATTTATAAAATTTTTTTTGGGACCTGTAAGAGAAACATACTTTTTCTCGTTGAAGCGATGCATACTGTACATCAAGTCTTTTCTTCTCCCGCTCGAGATTATCCAACTTATCGGTTATAACATTTTTCGCTTGTTGTTTGATATCTTGAGCGACCACCATCGCGGTATCAGCAGCTCCACGAGTTCGCTGCGTGTCAACACGAGCTTCATTTGTGGCAACGACGGAACGGCCACTGCCTACACCACCATAAACTACTTATTCCATATCAAGAAAACTTTTTTTGCTATTGATTTACTCGGAAAAAAAAAACAATTCACCTACAAACGTTGCAGAAGACGAAGGTGTCTCAAAATCAGATATGAGTGATCGACGGCGACGCGCATCTGCTTCCGCTGACGACTCTACGTGCTAAAACGTTCTTTCCAAACAATGAACGATAAAGTTATAAACAAATTTCAGTTACCTGACGAGCTCTAGCAGCTGCAAATGCAGCATTCATATTAGGCAACTGTTTTGAAGAGTGTGCATGAACCGCATGAGGATGATGCTTAACGGAATTTAATCTCTGCATCTGTTGCTGTTCTAATTGAGCCTGTTGTTGTTGTTGTTGTTGTTGCTGTTGTTGTTGTTGTTGTTGGACAGCATGCATCTTAATTGCATCTTTGTTAATTAACCACTAAAGCGCTTACAAAGAAACTGTGACTAGAAGGCCATGTAAGATCTTATATTGCAAACCTGATATGCTTGAAATTGAGCCAGCTGTTGTTCATATTGGCGTTGAAGTTGAAGTGCTGAGTCCTAAATTAACGTTATTTATGAAAAAAATAATAATATAAATTGTAAAATTTGGGACCTTTATAGCCATATAACTTTGAAGAAAACAATGAGGTGTTATAAAGGAAGAATAAATTTCTTATGG